ACCAGTCAAACAAACAGAGATCATGATCAGAAGGAATTGCCTGCTCTTAGAAGATTTGGTCAGTCCCGTCAGCTGACTCCTGCTTATCTCAGCCATTTTCTAGGCAAGAACTGGAATAAGTGATTTATTTCCTAAAACCTCACATGGTTCCTGTGCTTGATGCCACACATGAAGAGGTCCTGAATACATGAGCTCATCCTGTTGTAACTTTCTGCCAAGATCATAATAATTGTCTGACACGCTTTTCAGTTCCAAAGGTCTGGTGAAGGCAACATATAGAAGCACTTCTTAAGTTTGGAAGGCAGGTGGATGAGCTGAAGATCTTTTACCCGGTGTCTCTGATTGGCATCGCATTTATGCTGCTTGAGAGAATGATGCTGAAAGGAACGTTGCCTTTAATTGAGCCATAGTCACCTCATTGTCATGCAGGGTTCTCACTGGGCCATAATGCTGAGGGCCAAGTGATGAGACTACCATTTTTATTGAGGTCACCTTTGAGGCAGGACAGAGAGTCCGCACTGCTTTGGTTGTCCTTTTGTCAGCTTATGATACAGTTTAGCACTATGGGCTCGTCCTAACCTTCTACTTGCTCCTTGCCCCAAGCAAGAAGATGGTAACATGCATTATGCTGATGATTTTTTACAGAACACTGATCGTCAAGTGTGGAGATGATTCACATTGATCACATCGTATGAACAATGGGCTTCCCCAGGGATTTCTGCTTGCTTTTTTATAGAACAACAGGCCACAGAGCTGACCTGCTGCCCACCTTGTCAGCTAAGTTTGTGTACGCTGGTGAGGTCTGCCTGGCAACAGCCAAAAGGAGCTTTTAGGAGCTGGAATCCTACTTGACACCTTGGCCAAAATGAAGACTTGAACTAAATACACTAAACATGGTGCATAAAGCTGTTTCTGCCGCAGCAAATTATTAGCTTCCCTACCGCTGCACGTCCTTTGGAACAACTAGCCAATCTTTTTTTAAAATTATGCCCATCTTATTTTTGGATAAAGCATGGCTTCTCCTCGTCCTTTCAGCAACACATTGAGAAGATGGGTTAAAATCCAGTCAAGAGTCTCAGTCTTCCACAGGTTTGCTGAAAAATCACGGGGCCGTAGTGCTGTAACCTTATGGACATCCACCAGTGTGACATCTGCCAAAGTACCAGTTGTGCCTGCTGAATACTGTGCAGCTAGGTGAGTAGCTTGAGTGGTGCTTCTGGCAAGTTGGAGTCAACTCTCAACTTTGCCCTTATCACCACTGGTGTTACCTGGTCATTTCCAGTCTCCTTTTGTTAGAAGTGAGTGCTGGGCCCTGGCTGCGTTACTGTGTGCAGCTTGCTTCACAATGTCCTCACAAAGCCTCCTCAAAAATGCTGGCAAAAGTGAAGATGCCTCTTTTCTGAAATAATAGTTCAATCTCTCAGCGCCAAGTTCTGGTGTGGGGGCCAGCTTTTGGATCATTGGCCCATTGCTTGGCAACTCAGAATTGCATCCCCTTGTCTTTCCAGATCAGCTCTCTCAAGTCTCTGAGAACAACCGCATGAACAGGAAGATTTGTCTTTGTTACAAGAAGATATGTTGTGGTCACGGGCAGTTTAACGTACACCTTTAATAATGAGGCTTCTTGAGCTCCCCATCCCGCCATTTTGGAGCTCAAGAGCTGCCCATTTTATCATTCTGATTGTGGATAGATGCATTCAGCATCTCCTGATGATGTTGTCGTGGTAGTGGCTGCATCACTTATTCAACATCTGATTCATTGCCTGTGCTGTCAGAAGCTATACACCAGAAGGTTCTGTTTGCGTTCTTTTGAACAGAAAGAGACTGAAGGGCTCTACATGGCCTTTTCCTGGAAACATTCTTCAACAGAGGAAAGCTCTATTGGCAGGCCTATATAGCCATGACTATAAGGAAAAACAACCCCAAATTAAAAGGCTGTAAATATGAATTACATTTTGGAAAAATGAAGTGAACTCTAGTGCCCATTTTGGATCTGCTGGCTTTACATGTAAAAGATATTGTAAGGTTTCTCTTGGGGTCTGGGGTTTTAAAGCCCAAAGACAGAAAAGTCATTTCACCACAAAAGTTTGTCATTGTTTCATAATCTCCATTTGAGCAGCCTGGTGAAGCATCTCTGTTCTACTTACCTTGTAAACCACCTTCATACAGGTTCTGTGTTTAAGAACTCACTACCAATTTCCAGTCAGGGTCCCTTCAGTGCTGTATCCTAAGAACAAAGTGGCAAACAGATTCCTCTGGATTCCGTTCCTAAAGCCGGCTTAAAACTACATATCAGCATGTCCCACCATTTTGCTTACATTTTCAGAATTGTGAACAGAAGAAGTGACATTTTTAAAATATGGAGGTGGACGCTTATTATATGAAGAAAATGTGGTCACTTTTCAATAGATTGATTATATTTGGCTTCCTTTGGGGCATATAGGAATGGAATTCCAACATCGAAACTACTGATAGGGAGATTTCTTTATGTCGGAAAGAAGCCTGTGTTCCCTGTAAGCTGAGCATTTGGCAGCCATCCCAGAGAGATTCAAATGCCAGAGTGCCCACAGCTAGCATCATGTGTTTCTACTGGTGGTGCACATTCACACATGCATTGGTACACATAACAAAATTTATTCTGCACACGAATGAAAAAAGTTAGAGGGAACATTGATTAAGAATCAGATGTTTGCATTACAGCATCAAAGATCATGCCTGAGCCAAAATGCTGAGCTCTAGGCTTTTAAATATACTGGCCACATAGGAAAGATTCGACTTGATAACAAATCAAGCTTTGTCTAGAATTCATCAGCCAGTGCCAGTGCTTAAGCAATTGGTAGGTGCTCTCTTTCTAAATGCAGCTAGCTGAGAGACTGAGGGGGTGACTATTCATTTATTTGTATTAAAGTGGCACCTACAGGTTTGAAGTGAGATCAGGCATCATTCTGCTAAGCACTGCATGGACATGGAGCAGCAGACAGAAAATAAGTTCTTCATGATGGAGACTAAGAGTGGCTATGTCCACATTGCAATTAAACTCTTGTAGATGGTGCATGCCAGCTGGCTCAGGCTAATGGACTGTTCAGGTTCCGTATAGACATCCAGGCTTGGGCTGCAGCCTGAGCTCTGGGATACTGCAAAGCGACAGGGTCTAAACAGCAGTTAAATAGCCCTGCAGGTTTTTAATTACAGTGTAGACATACCCACAAACAAAGATTAGGAGTAGAAAGGGAAGTAGATGTGGGGTGCATCTACACAGCACCTCAAACCCGAAATAAGCTATGCAATTTGCTCTATGCAAATTGTGTATCTTATTTCGATACTCTTTCGAAATAGAATATTTTGAAATTTGGCATGTCTACATAGTACCAAATTTTGAAATAACACACTCATTTGAGACATCCTTTAGCCCTCGTGGAATGAGTTACAGGGATGCCAAAATAGCACGCCCATTATTCCAAAAAATATTTCAAAATAACAGGCAGTTTGTTAAGACGCAGAGTAGCCGTGCAATGTAGAGGTACCCTGAGTTGTTTAAGGTCACCCAGAAACAAGCAGGACTAGAACCCATTTACTCAGAATCTCAATCCAGTGAGGATGATATTGCCTCAGGGTACCACTTCGGGGTGACATGCTATGAGACAAAACGAATACATTCAGGCCCCAACCTGCATCACTTATACTTGCCTATTTCCTGGGGTTGTTAGTTTTGTAGGATCAGGCCCTACAAATTAGGAACTTAGTGGAGAGCTTGAAAATAATTTTATAGTGTGTTCTTAAGACTTATGTTTGTGCCTGAGGCAGTGCTGTATACTAAGAAATTAACAGCAACATTTTTTGCTTGCTTCCTCTGTTCATACAGTATATTCTCTCCAACTTTTTTTATTGTAATTTTCTCAGGAGCATGTAGTCTACATTGTCTTACTGAAGACATACATGTTCTTTTAAGTAGTCATTTTGTTACACTAGCAGGTAAACCTGACTTGTTTACACTGTGCTGTTTTCTATTTTGTGCTGTCGAGGAGCCAGCTTCTGTGAGAGAAGAAAAGGAAGTCAGGAGAGAAGAGGAATAAGAAAGGGGCAAGGACAGAGGGATTAGGGCAGATCAAGGGGAAGAAGAAATACTGAACAAGAAGTGCAAAAGGGAGAGATTTTACAGAAAGAAAATCTCCAGTCAAACATGGCCAGTCTAAGGTTTTGGTTTTTTTTTCCTGGGGAAGCCAAAGCTTATGTGTGGAATGCTTTGGCTCAAAGGGAATGCCAAGATTCTCCATTCTGCCTTTGAGCAAAACATTTTTGTCTCTGTAAGTTGTATTTAAGGATGGGCAGTGGCACTGCTGCTGCTTTGTCCGGCTGTCAAAATCATTCTGGGAAATGCCAGCCTATTCAACTTTACGAGTAAAGCGTCTTGTGTTTTCTTTTTAGCACTGATCCTCAAACAGTATGTGCATGTGCATGTGCATATGATTCTTGTTTTGTGACAAGGTTTGATGAAGTGGTTAAGAATTGTTGTAAATTTGAAATTATCTTTATATTGGCCCCTGTTAAGATTTCTGATTATTGCTGTTAATGATTAGATGTGGGTAAAAGGCTTTTCCCAAACCATTTAAACTAAACCAGATCTATCTGCTGCCTATTGTCCTTCATGGGACATCGGGTGCATTCTATTCAGTGATGGATCACCTCCCAAGATGTCATAGCAAATGTTTATTGACATGTGGAGTTGACAAAGTCCTCTTTAACAATATCTAGCCTATTTATTTATTTACAGCATTGTTACCACTTTGTTTACATTACAGCACTTAGTGCACATTTTCACAGTTACATCATACTGGCTCCAGGAACATCACTACGCAGGAGATCAGTTTACTTGTGAGATGTGTTCAGTAAACTATCCTATTTCTCAAATGTGATCAGTGGAAATGTGAGCCATTAAGGATGATGATTAACTCCAGACTAAGGCTTTATTCTCAAATGACAGTTTATTTCCCTCATCTTAGCATAAGAAGATCCATAGCCCACATATGGCTCAGGAAACAAGCATATGACTCCATTTCAATGGGAACTAAATGAATGGATGAGGATGGAACATGACTTTATGCCTAACAGAGGAGGTGAAAGTACTGAGAGAGAGCAAAACAGAAGTATTTGTTCATAATTCCTTTCTGTTGTATCCTGTGCAGCCAACTGCTTCTTTACTGCTAAGCGACATGTGAAGTATTTAATCCATATTAATAAAAGAACAATACAATATGAAACAACCATACCTGGGGTCTTGTGAAATTGTGAGGTTTCTGTTGCATGGCTAAAGAGGCATACTCAACACTTCTTTTGACAAGATGGCATTTATTGATTACTCCTAACAGCAACAATTAAAGAAGGAAATATACAAGAAAGGAAAGCAACACTATAATCATTAGAAACTTGAAATGAATATGATGAACTTTAATACTTCCAAGTCTGACACAAAATGATCAAAGCTGTCGCACAATAGTATTCTTATCCAACTTACATTCTGGGAAGGTGTTAATTTTAGCAGAAAGCCCATTTTTGAAATTGTTCTTGAAATCTTTGAACCAAATACATTTGGTAGAAAACTGCTCCTAAAGCTTGCAATTATCAGATTGCCAGTTCCATCAATGATGGCCATTTTGAAACAGAAAAAATAGTAGTGGAAGAGAAAATGCTAGCACTGATGATATGTGGTTTGAGAGAAATAGCCATAAATACATGTATTTGTAGCATGTCATAACAGAGGAGACAAATAGAACTGTACCATGTCCTTACAAACTGACTTGGAGTTATGGGTGTCATGGCATCATTCTCTAAGAATGTTCCTTTGTCCGAACTAGTGCCCGGGTGAGTGCATTAGATGTAATGTATAACATTGACTTATGCTCCTGAAAAGCAAATTTCATACTTTCATGGCTGTTTTCATCTTCCTTTCCAGACATTTATTCAATAGAACACCTTTTTTTTGTCTTGGGCTGGCAACAAGAATGTAACCTCTTGACAAATCTCATCTTTTGTCTCCCTCTCCACTCTCAACCATGGCCGGATGTCAAAATTCCCAACCTCTGATCTTTAAATATATCCGTGAAGAATGAATCATACAGAGCCAGAAGAAAGGATATTTCAGAAGTTAGTATCCTAGTATCATATTTGGGAGACCACAGTTCAGTTTCCCTACTGTGCCATGTGTTTCACATATAACCTTGGGCAAGTCACTTTTCCTCTCTTTGCCACCATTCCACATCTGCAAAATACATCTCACAGGGATGTTGTGAAGGTAAATACATCTAATTATGAGGCAGTCAGAGACTGTGGTGAAAAGGGCAATATAAGTACCCAAGACAGACATTCTATTGCTCTGACATCCTTACTTAGCCCTTATCAATAATGGGAAAGTATGTGTTTTCTACAATACTAGTGCAACTGTGTCAATGCTACCTCCAGTAGAAACTATAACGTGGATAGGACACAAGCTCTTTAACCAGGATTAGGCAATATAGTGGTTTTATACTGAGAATTGTCATACTCCTGCTGACAGCTCCAGTACCTTTACCTATCTCTTTATGACTTTAATCCGGACAGAATTTTGTTCCCTAAGTCTGAGCTAGAATAAAAACAAAATCAGAACTATTGTGATGAGCTAATATCTACTCGCACCTGGGGGGAGGACGGAACGTCTAGAAGGCTTTTTCTGAATAAAGGTTTTACTGTAAAGAGGAAGAGAGAAAAATGAGGCTGTAGGGAAGAAACTACATTGACTTTTGTAGTAAATTGATTTCCAGCTAAGTAGGTTTGAATTTCCTAAAGTCAGACCTGAATTGAGATATAACATTTGTTTTTGATGACAACTCTATCCTGTACTATTCAATGTCAAAAATGTATTTAATTTATTTTTAGTCACCAGGATATCAATAGAAACTTGTCAAATTAGTAGTGCACTTCTTTAAATGAAGTTAGTACTCCGGATAGGTTACTATGGAAAATAGAACAGAGAAGAGAAACTCTGCCTGAAAGGTAAAAGACAGATGTTTGATTTATAAAGCTATAACTATTAGAACCAAACTTCAAAAGTAAAAACTACACAAAATTGTAGCATTTGGAGGATTTGCTATAAACCGACACCCAAATAATTGTAATTGAAAAGTTCACTGAGGTTTATAAATGTTTCCAACCAAGAAGAGCCCAGTTTTAGCAAATTTGGGAAAATTAATTTTTTTATGACAAACTCATGTTCAATTTTCACCTTAAAAAAAATCTCAACATGAAACAGAGCTACCCAGGAAACTCATGAGGACACCAACTTATGAGGTTCAGTAAAAATGTTTTGCAGGTACTCCAATGGTGGGAAGAGGCTGAGATTTGCCAGGGGTTACTTGGTTTTTTTTTTCTGCTTTTGCTAGTTAATGAATGAAAGGTCTGAAAATGAAACTTACCAGAGAACTTAGCAAAGAGTTCTCAGTTACTGGACAACACATACCTCTCACATGAAAGAACAAAATATTTTCTGCCTTATTTTTTTCTTGGAGAGGGGATTGCAGATGAGTTTCTTCAGGGAATTTGGTATTTTGAGATTCAAGTGATAGATTGTGCATACAGTGCAGGGCAAAGAAAATCTCAGTTCTTGATTTTTGTCAAGAGCAGTTTTTAGGCTGAAACAAATATACACCGTAACCAGTGGAAAAGATTCTTAAATATTTAAGCTTTCTTGTAGGCTGTGTCTACATTGGCACCCTTTTCCGGAAATGCTTAAAACGGAACAGTTTTCCGTTATAAGTATTTCCGGAAAAAGAGAGTCTACATTGGCAGGATGCTTTTCCAGAAAAGCCCCTTTTCCGGAAAAGCATCTGTGGCCAATGTAGACGCGCTTTTCCGGAAAAAAGCCCCGATCATCATTTTCACGATCGGGCTCTTTTTGCGGAAAAGACTACTGTGCTATCTACACTGGCCCTTTTCCAGAATAGTTTTTCCGGAAAAGGACTTTTGCCCGAATGGGAGCAGCATAGTTTTTCCAGAAAAGCATTGATAATTTTACAGTAGATTGTCATTGCTTTTCTGGAAAAGCAAGTGGCCAGTGTAGACAGCTTTCAAGTTACAGGCAGTCCCTGGGGCTATGTCTAGACTGCAGGCTTCTTTCGAAAGAGGCTCTTTCGAAAGATCGCGTCTAGACTGCAGGCGGATCTTTCAAAAGAGAAATCCGCTTTTTCGAAAGAGAGCACCCAGCGAGTCTGGATGCTCTCTTTCGAAGACGGCCTCTTTATTTTAGTCATAACAGCAGATCCCATTATAAAAGGCACATTTTTCCATTGTATGTGAAGTGGCAACCATCTGATTAACCCTTAAATTTGCCTGGTTTTTTAAATGTATTTTTTCAGTCTCCTTTAAGGGTATAAAGCTAATGTCAACATTATGGCTTAGTGTACACTGCAGGGTTTTTGTGCAAGAAGCCTCTTACACGAGAGTTCTTGCACAAAAACTTCTTGCGCAAAAGCACGTCCAGACCTCAAAGAGCATCGTAAAAGCGATGTGCTTTTGCACAAGAGAATGTCCACACTTCATGGACACTCTTGTGCAAAAAAGCTCTGTTGGCCATTCACAGAATGGCCATCAGAGCACCCGTGCTTTTGCTGATAGGGGTTTCTTGAGCAAAAACCCCTCTGGAGCGTCCACAACTGCCTTTCTGTAGCGCAAAAAGAAGTTATTCCTCATGGGGAGAGGAATAACTGTATTGGAAAAAGCTCTCTGTTCTATTAATTTACTTGCGCAAAAACGTGCTTGAGATGTGGACGCTCCACCAGTTTTTGCACAAAAACTGCTGTTTTTGCACAAAAACCTTATAGTGTAGACTTAGCCTAACAGTAATGTTAATGTACCGTATTTTCTGGCGTATAAGGCGACTGGGCGTATAAAACGACCCCCTAATTTTCTAGTTACAGAGGACTACCCCCCTTAAAAGGCCAACCAGCAGTGCCCCAGTGCCCCTCCGCCTCCCCGGCTTTGCTCCCGGTGCCCCTGGTCGGCTGGGGACCGTCTCCAGCAGACCAGGGACATCGGGAGCAAAGCCGCAGCGGCGGCGGAGTCCCGCGCCTCCCCGGCTTTGCCAGAGCAAAGCCTCAGAGGCGCGGGACCCCTCCACCTCTCCGGCTTTGCTCCAAGTGTCCCTGGTCTGCTGGAGACAGTCCCCAGCAGACCAAGGGTACCTGGAGCAGCTTTTCTCACCCTGGAGGTCGAGGTGGCGGGACCGCTGCGCTCTGGGCGGTCCCGCTGCCTGCGAGTTCCGGGGCGAGAAAGCCCCGTTCGTAAGTGCGGATCCGACATAAGTCGGATCCGCGTAACTCGGGGACTGCCTGTATTTCGGAAAAGCGGCTGCTTTTCCGGAATAAGTTGCCCAGTGTAGACACAGCCGTACTGTACAGCATATAGCACATATTTTTTCAAACTATAACAACTTCTGTGGGTATTAACATCTGGGGCTTTTTCCCCAGAAGGACCCTTAATGGGTGCTTAGATATCTAAGCCCAATTTGCTATTTATGGTGGCTTTGTGAAATACACTGGTACTCTTTGTCCACTTCCTAGCTACTACTTCATATTTCTGAGAGGGCTTCTCTACTTCTTCCACAAAGAATTAAAGCTATTCCTGCTTACAGTCAAAGCTCTCCATGTACTCCTCTGACCTCATTTCTTTTGCAGTCCCATCCCCCCATTTTCTTTGCAAGTCTTAAAATCTGCATTTTCCTCTTAGCCCCCTTCTTTCTCTCCTTAATTCCACCTTCTTTCACATCACTCCTTATGCTCAAGACACTCCCCTGATGAGTGAAGGCCCAGATCCTTCTCCCTTGAAGCACTGTGATACCCATCAATTCCACAAAAACTCCCTCAGCAATGGCAACTTGCAGTGCTTGACCCCTGCATTGTGCCTCTTCATGGAAACTCTTCGGGTACGTCTAAACTACATGGCTCTGTCGACGGAGCCATGTAGATTTGTTGTTTTGGCAAAGTCAAATGAAGCCGCAATTTAAATGATAATATACAGATACAGTCTTTAAAAGACAAAAGGCTCTCCCCTTGAAGGCTGTGTCTAGACTACATGCCTCTGTCGTCAGAGGCATGTAGATTAGACACATAGGCAAAGTCAAATGAAGCCGCGATTTAAATGATCGCGGCTTCATTTAAATTTACATGGTTGCTGTGCTGAGCCAACAAACAGCTGATCAGCTGTTTGTCCGCTCAGCGCGCTAGTCTGAGCCCTTTGTCGGCATCAAAGCCCTTTGTCGGCAGCCCTGGTAAACCTCATCCCACGAGGAATAACGGAGCTGCAGACAAAGGGCTTTGATGTCGGCAGGGGAGCGTCCAGACTAGCACGCTGAGCGGACAAACAGCTAATCAGCTGTTTGTTAT